TACTGTGATTATATAGCTCGTTCGGTTTTATTTTATCAGTCGCAGTTTGAATTTTCGGTGTAATCGCGTAAGCCGAATTTTTGTTCGTTTGAATCCGTTTTAGAACCGTTGCTACCTGAACTTCAAAATAATTCAACAGCGCTTAAAACAATTATATTGTCATCTCTCTAATAGTATTTTCAGCCAACAAAATCGAATCAAGGGAGTTAAAATCAAATTTTAGTCAAATTTTCGATTTTAAGGTAACCGTTCGTTTGAAGTCCGAATTTGGTTCCGTAAATTTTGTTATTCTCATTTTCTTAGCATGTTCCAAGATATCTCTCAATAATTAATATTTTTCAGCTATTTTTAGCATAAAAACCGAATTAGGAGAGGAAAAATTTATTTTGATCAAATTCTTCGATCTTCGGTTATAGTCGGATTTTAAGTCCGATTTCGGTTCCGTAAAATTAATTTTTCCTCTCAATCTTTTTAGTAAGCATCAAGACCAATATTATCATTATTTTACATAGCTAAGAAACTCATAAATTCGGATTTGTAGAGTTTATATGGATTAGATCTTAATTAACATTATTCTATACATCATGTTACTAGCATGTGCTTTCAAAATTTTTATCAATGTGTAAGAGTCTTGTCTTCAACCACTCCACCTCACATGCTCAGCCAAGACACATGTTTTCCAGCCTTAGTACATTTAAAGTCATCCTCCACATGCAAGGAACCATTCCAAGACAACTCATTAACATCACTTGCGCATGAGGTGGAGATCAATCAACATTGCCTAACCTTTCTTGCTTTCTTGTTTTATCCTCACTTGAGTCCCTTCATAAGCCTTCATTATCAGCTAAGAATAGCTTTAAAATCACTTAGAAAACTTTAGCAAAAAGAGAGAAAAACCGAGTTCAAGCAAGAGAGGGAGAGAAGGAGAAGAACCAAGCAACACTTCTTTTATTTCTCCTCATCATTTTCATTTTCTTGAAGGAGGTAAGGTGCCTCTGTTATGACATTAAATAATTGTTTTCTGAAAATGTGTTCTTCATATAAAATGTTGTTCGTCCTGTTATCTTTTTCTAGGTTTTGGAATTTCGATAATCCGATTAATATTGAATGAGTTATGATTTT